TATATCGATTACTTCAGTTGTTATTTTTAATACCTGCATAGAGTTTCGTAAACTTAGAGTAAATATTTATAGAAATATGGATATTTCTATAAAAAATTTAATTTTTCGCCTGACGTTTTTTAATTAATAGTTCATGAATATTCAATGGAATATAACAAAATTTTTGGAGAAAGTTAAAATAAATAACAAAATTGATGATATAAACTTATAAGAAGATTGTTAAAATTGCTCAAGATATGAGTATTTACGCTAGTTCTTACATATTGCGCATGCGCAGAAAATATTTTAAAAATTCTGTTTTCATCATTTTCCAGGAAATCGCATTTATACAATTGATAGAAGCTTTGTTTGAATATCTTAAAAATTTAAAAAGTTTCAAGCAAAAAAGTTTTAAGTAGTTTTTGTACTTTTTAAAAGAAATCTCTCAAAATAATGGGTTAAGTATACATTTTATCTTGTACTGTTAAACAAGATTAATTAAAAATGAGACCAGCAATGGGGGGATCACCCTCCATAAAAGTATGCTTTCTTCTCTATGCCATCAAAGTTTAGTTTCTGAACAATTGTCGTTAGGTATTATCATTTGTTATTTAATTTTGTCCTATGATTCAAAGAGAAATTTGTGAAAAAACCATGATCATTTGAAATTTTCTTTTGTAAAATACAAAAACTACTTAGTTGCTTGGAACTTTTTAAATTTGTAAGATATTTAAATCAATTTATTTTATAGTTTCTAAATGCGATTCACTACAAAATTACGAATTTTTTTTTATATAATTAATTTTAAATTGCTCCAAAACTCTTGTTTAATGCCATGGAATATCAGAAAAGTTGTAACGAAAAACCGTAAGGCTAAAAAATTTATTTCTTATAAAAATGTTCATATCGAGCGAAACTTTATACAGTTATTTCAATTAACAATTAAAGTAATCAATATAAGTTAAAAGCTTATTGCTTGATTTTCCGGCATTGGATGCTCAAAAATACTTGTTTTATTGTGTAATTTATTGTAGGTCTCTCAAACCTCTGAAAGTTTTTTTTTTATTGTTAAGTAAGAAAAATCGCATAAACTAAGCATTTCATGAAAATTTTCGTTTAAAACTGAAAGTGCCTCTTCCGTAGGGTAGTGTATATGTATGTTATTTGACGATGCTCGTTTTTTTTTCTTTTTTTAAATAAATAAGAAAAAGGGTTGCATCTCCCTGTCAATAAGATTCGCGTGTTCGTGCGATAAAAAAATAAAGAAGATTGAAACGAAAAGCATTAAAAAGCGTGTGATTGATTTCTATATTTTCCTACATTCTGTGATCCTAGCATCTTGTATCCTTTTAAGGAGATAAACCATTCTTTCCCAGTGGTCTTCATATGAATCGAACCTTTCTGATTCTAGCGAGTGAACGAAGATCACACGGATTTGATCTCAATACGATACTCTTGTATTACATTTCATGTTAGTACGCATACGTATTCTTCAATACGTATTAACTCGGAAGAAATAGGTTTGAGGAAGCGCTTCTTCCTCCTTCCGGTGGTTTTGGAGGTAGTAAATGAGTGAATGGCGTAACACTACATTGTCTAATATTTTACTTTATTTCCCTTGCTGGGGTAAGAAAGCACTATCCTTTCTCGAAGACTTCCCCAATGGCCTTTCTTTATTTCTTATACAGTATGATATAGCTAATATATATTGAAGTATTTTTGTTCCTGACATATTTTATGCCAATAGTACTTATATAAAAGCACGTTGACCATTTTTGCCAAAACCAAGCAAAGGTGCCAACAAGGCAATTTTTCGATAACAATAAAAAAAAAGTATTACCAATTACATGGTTATTACTTTTCCATTGCTCGCAAAAATTCGGGTTGTTTGCAGACATTTTCTTTTTTTATCGAGAATAGTTGACGGGTTTTTAAGCAAGTACCGTGTTAACAAATCAGATGTTTTTAAAAGGACTGCAGATGATATATTTTAAATAATTTATATACTTATTAATTTAGGAATTAAACGTTTTTAAACAAAAAGAGATATTTTTCGATTAGTAATCTATTTTCCAGCAGCTGACATAACCTTTTTACATATAATGCTATCTTTTGAGCACTGTTGTAGAAATAACAAACGGGTAAGCAGATTTATTAAGAAAAGACGGGTGCGTAATTTGAAGAAAAAAAAAAGCTAACATCAATTCATAGATATGTTTCGGCTCCTGTTTTTTGGGGAAATAGAGGAATGCCTGCTAATAATTTTCTGAATCTGAAACTTTTATGGAAACACGTTTTAATTTTGCCGAAGTCTTGTTTCTGTGAATGTTTTGAAATAGGATATTATTTTTGTTCAAAAAAGAGCAGCTTGAAAACTATATTTTTTAAGGAAATGTAGTTTTAAGATCATGATTGATGATTTCATTTTCATCGTTTTCCGAATGAGGAGTTTTGTGAAGTGTCGGTTTTTAATACAAAAAATGCTTTGGAAAGCACATTTTTAATTTAAATTAGGAGAAAATATAGTAAAATTTAGGAATAGGTCCATTTTTACGATAAAATAATTTGTGAAAGTCCTATACGAACCCAAAATTCTCCTAAACAGAGTTCTAAATAGCCATTAGGAAAAAGGAAATATTTATTTTTTTATCATTTTTGTATCCCGTCAAATATAAGAAAATGGTAAAGATTCAATATTGCTTTTTTTTATTTATCACCCACTCACAAAAGTCAAAATTCAGAATTCTTTCATTTAATACTAATTCAGGTTCTATCTGCAAATACAGTGGACATTTAACTCATAAACAAAACAAAAAAAAAAAAAAACGACTGAAAATTATAACAGAAATTTTAATCACGAGTTTAAAAGATGTTTTTGAAATAAATACAGATAATTGATGCGGCATGTTAGAGTATAAAATTTATTAGGCTAGGAAAAAATGCAGGAAATAATTAAATACCCATCAACAATAATGCTACCAGGCAATAGAAAAAATAGCGTAAGTACTTCATGATCGATTTAAAAAAGAGTGACTTGAAAACTATTCTCTTTCTATTGCTGATGCTATCAACTTCAAAATAGAATTTCTGAAAACTCATAAAACAAATTTAAAAAAAAATTTTTTTTCTTCGGAATAACTAGCTTGTTATACACTGAAGAGAAAAAAAAACTGGTACAGGTATGAGTATGCGAAATAAAGGGGTATGGAGCCAATCAAAGTACAGCGCTGCGATCAGCAACGCGTATTTAAGATAGCGAGTGTCTGGCACAGTTCTTAGATCGGTTACTGCTGCTAGAATGCCAGGTTATACAGATTTAAGTGTGTTTGAACGTGGTGTTATAGTCGGCGCACGGGAGATGGGACATAGCATCTCCGAGATAGAAATGAAATTTGGCTTTTCACGTACAACCTTTTAACGAGTATACCCTGAGTATCGGAAATCCGGTAAAACATCAAATCTGCGACATCGCATACATATTTGGGATGCCTTGCAACGTGATGCTCAGAAGATATCCCCACTCCCTCTTACACTCACTGGTTTATGGACAGCCCTGCAGGATTCATGGTGTCAATTATCTCCAGCACTACTTCACACATTGATCGAATCCATGCCACGTCGTGTTGCGGCACTTCTGCGTGCTCGCTGGGGCCCTACACGATATTAGGCAGGTATACCAGCTTTTTTGGCTCTTCAGTGTACAAAGACACTAAATGTATATAGATCACAATTTAGAATTTTTCGTCGCGAACGTTGATTTTTCTAATCTGCAGCAGACTAAAGACTACGTTTAATGGTTAAATACTATTCTATTTCTTTTAAACTGAACGGAATAAAACTTAAACTTGTTCCTAAAATGCATTTCAGTGCATATCTCCGAACCATCGACTACCTTTCTTTAAACATATTAGGCAATTTAATTTTTTTTCTTTTGAAATGTCTAAGGTTTGCTTTCTAATTTAGGTACTAAATAGGGCAACATAAAGGAGGTTTGAGAAAAAAGAGAAAAAACAGCCTTTACTACGTGAGAGATTTTTCAACTGCTGCTTTGATTGCTTTTTTAATTGCTTTTGCTCAACTTCCTTTATTGCTTTGCTATTATGTCTGCTGATATTTTTACATATAAGCCTGGACAAAATAAATAAAAGATATTATCTCGTCATTAGCGCCCACGATTATTTCCAAAAAAGTGCTTTCGAATATTGTATTAATAAAGCCAAAGCTAAATATAATAATACAATAGTGTTAGGAGTACCAAAAAAAAAATGTAAACGATAATAGAATTTACTAAGCAAAGAATGCAAAATAAAACAATCAAGCAAAAATAGAAAACGAAAATTCTAGAAATGCAGAATACAACTCATAATGTAATATGTAAAGCAAGTAGCGAATTATAATGCACTTACACTTACCGTTATTTTTCAAAAAATATTTAAAGCGTTTTCGTAGCAAGTTTGCCAGTTTACAAATATGAAAATAGAAGGGTAAATCGAGGATGAACTTAGGGCGCGTTTTTACTGAAGTACTGAAATGTTATAATTTTTCTTATTTATCTTTGTCAACTTTTTTTTTCTTTTATCCTCTTTTGTGTTATACATAGAGTTAAAACGGAATACGGGAGGTACCGGCGGATCCCAGATTGATGGGGTTTTTTTTAAATTTTTTTGAAGATTAAATCCTCTTTTTTTCCAATATAAAGATTTTGGTGACAAAATCTATTTAGATACCTATTCAAAAAGGTTCTTTTATTAATTAAATACTAAAAATTCCTTCCCTATTTCTTGTTCGTACATTATTGTTATCTTTTTTTTATTCATATGGAAAAATTAAAAAATTAGTATAATTTTTTTTTCTTCAAATAATGCAGAAATGATATCCTAATTGCCATTACGTAATGATAGATGAAGAAATAGACTAGAAATTTTAAATGCAATTTTCTAACAATGCGCGTGTGCAAAACATGGTATTTAAGTTAAAATGCAGCCCCTAGAAATTTTTTTATGATATAAGCGTTTTCTTACGTATGATATCATGGTCATGTTCCAAGCAGCTGCTAACAGTGCTTCGTGTTCACAACTTCCATCCAATCCTATGAATCCTACAACTCCTTCCTCTTTTAGTTGAGTCATTTTTTGTAGGGGTGTAGCAGTCTCAGATTTACCGGAATCTAACGCTATATACTTGAGATTGTAATCTGGCAACAGTTCTTCATCTGCATTTACCATGTCAACAGCTAATGGAACAGCGCCAGCTATAAGTTTTCCTATGTACTGATAAGAAAAAATATAAATTAACAATAGATTAAAAAGAAACAGTTAACATGTAATAGTTTAAAGATTTATGATAGTGAAAAAGAGCTAACTTTATAGATATTTTTAAATTTTACTCTAAAATAAGCATTTTTGTTCATGACCAGACTACAATTTATACGCAGGCTTACAAAATATATGGACCAAGGTGCAGCTGAATTACTGCTCATGATGTATACGGATTACAGTTTCTAAAATCATGCCAAACAGTAGGTCATAAATTTAGCTAACTTTTATTGATAGTTAAAATAATTTATTATTAATAGTTTTAAAAAGATCGAACTTGTTAATAATTAAAAAAACGTATGATTGATTTTTATTGTTAATTTATTTTATACCTTAAATTTTGCTCCAAATATTTCTTATTTCCTTATTACTGGAATCTAACTTATTACTAATCTCTTAAAGCATATGAACTTACTCTCCATTTTTTACAGCTTACTTTTTGCAAGATTTTGGATGGATATTTTTGAATTTCATTCAAAATCGCAAACATTTTTCTTCATTACCAGTACTAATTTCTCCTCAGCTTTCTAAGTATTTCTACTAGATTACTGCTGTCCTGCATAGGACAGGGTTTCTGTTTCAAAAATTAAGGAAATCCCATGAGATACAGTGAGTTTCAGCAAATGCTTGAGAAAAATAATAAAAATAACCTTTTTATTCAAATTCTTAGACTATTAACATTGTGTTCCTAATAAAATATTTGAAAACAAAATATTTACCTAATGAAGGAACACTTTTTATAATAAATTTGAAAACCAAAGAGGATTCACTGTTTTAGATTCATAATTAAATGTCAGGCTTTGCTCATCATTTTGAAAAACCATCACAATTTCAAGTAATATGAATTGATTTAATTTAAGCTGAATTAAACACTAGCCTATATGAATTAAACCCTTTTACTAAACAAACGAAAATAAGTTATTACCAGTGCTGTTTCCACCAAGCGTTTCTGACTATTTATATTAGATTATTGCTGTCTAATAAAAGAGGAGACTTCTGTTTCTATGATCACAGTAACCCCATGAGATACTGTAAATTTCAATCAATATTCAGTTGAAAAAAGAAAAAAATATTTGAAAACAAAATAGCTATCAAATGAAAGAACATTTATATTTAATAAATTTTAAAACCAAAGAAGCGCCATTTTCTCAGATTTAAAATTAAATATAAGGATCCACTCAATATTTATAAAAAACTATCAGACTTCAAAACTTATCAAAACTTTGACTATCAAAACTTGTCGAGTAAAATGAATTTATCAAATTTTCTAGGTTTAATTAAGCATTAGCTTATATTAATTAAACTCCCTTTATTGAACAAACAAAAATGCTAGTTATATAACATTTATATTTTAATGAATTTTGAAACTAAAGAAGCGTCACTGTCTCCGATTTAAAATTAAATATTATGTTCCGCTCACTATTTATAAAAAAAACTATCTGACTTCAAAACTTCGACTATCAAAATTTCTCGAGTAAAATGAATTTATTGAATTTTCTAAGTTCAATTAAACATTAGCTCATATTAATTAAACCCCTTTTATTGAACTAACGATAATGCTAGATATATAACATTTATATTTTAATAAATTTCAAAACAAAAGAAGCATCACTGTCTTAGATATAAAATTAAATATCAGATTCCGCTCACTATTTAAAAAATAAACTGTCTGACTTTAAAACTTATCAGAACTTCAAAACATAGACTACCAAAATTTATCGAGTAAAAAGAACTGATTTAATTTTCTAAGTTGAATTAAACATTAGCATATATTAATTAAATCCCCTTTATTTAACAAACAGAAATGCTAATGATAAATGAAAGTTTAAAATTCAGCGATTTCAAACACATATATTATAATCTATATATACAATCCATTTATTATTTTCTGGCTTGTTTGAAATAAACGAAAAAAGAATAACGATAAAACTCGGTGTATTTTATGCAAGAAAAAATGGAGATAGGAACAATAAAGTGCACTTAGTAAGACACAGAGAAAAGTTTTTGTTTGGAGAACTGAAACTATAGTATGTCCATTTTGTGCNAAATATCAGGTTCCACTCGCTATATATAAAAAAAAAACTATCCGACTTCAAAGCTTATCAAAACTTCGACTATCAAAATTTCTCGAGTAAAATGAATTGATTGAATTTTCTAAGTGTAATTAAACATTAGCTTATATTAATTAAACCCCTTTTATGGAACTAACGATAATGCTAGATATATAACATTTATATTTTAATAAATTTCAAAACCAAAGAAGCATCACTGTCTCAGATTTAAAATTAAATATCAGGTTCCCCTCACTATTTACAAAAAAAAAACTATCCGATGTCAAAACTTATCAAAACTTTAAAACATCATCTATCAAAATTTATCGAGTGAAATAAATTGATTTAATTTTCTAAGAATTTGAATCAAACATTAGCATACATAATTATTAAATCTCCTTTATTGAGCAAACAGAAATGCTAGCGATAAATGAAAGTTTGAAATTTATACCATTTCAAATATCTCAAATACTCTATTTCAATATCTCAAATACAATCCATATACTACTTTCTGGCTAGTTTGAAATGGACGGAAAAAATAACTATAAAACTCATTGTATTTTAAATAAGAAAAATTGGAGATAGGAACTATAAAGTGCACTTAGTAAGACACTGAGAAAAGTTCTTGTTTGGAGAACTGAAACTATAGTATGTCCATTTCTGCGCTTTATTTTTGCTTAATACACATTGTTTCTTACTTTAGCCTAGGTAGCACTATTATCCTTTTGGTTATTAAGTATTTTAAGACAAAACAAAAGCAAAAAAATGTTTGAATATTCATTGAGTTCTAATACGTACCTCAAATGATGTGAGAAATCCAATTGTAATATTGGGCTTGCTGGGATCTAAAATTGGCCTCTCTGCAGAGGCGTTGAACCGAGAAAGATCTACCAGAGTTCTGTGAGGTTCCAGGTCTGCCTCTGTTAAAATTAGAAGCAAACTGGTCATGAATACCGAAGTAGTCATCGAAGGCATAGGTTTCGGTTTCTATGAAGCTCATAATACGTAATCTTTAAAATGGACATTGGATGATTTCGAAAAGTGTAGATCTATGGCAGTAGTTGCTTGAAAGATTTCTTGGTAGATGTTTTCCGAAAAGATCTCGGGTCGAGAAGGAGTTAACCTCTCATTCTTCTGATGAGCAAAATAGAATATCACAAAAGAACCTGGAATGAAATATATAAGAATAATAAATATAGGACATAGGTAAAATATCTACTCTAAGGTATGGTGAAATTTTATGGTAATTTTTTAATAAATACTAGGACGTTTCACCCCCTATCGTTCCGCTCTCCAACCTGATTAATTAATTCTCATTGCTTATTTCTTCTTAAGCGTCAATATTTCCCACTAAGACATTTTAATTTCAAAATAAACAGTTATTGTAGTTGTATGTAAAGACATTTTGTTAATGTATTAATCGTAATAGAATCTATTATTACCTAAACTTAAAAAATAATCCTCTATGCTAGAAAAAAAATGGCCCAAAGAATAAAGATTATGAGATTCAATAAAAAGAAAAAAATGAGAAGTAATTATACATGTTGAACTTATTATTCATAAAGAGATGTATAACAATTCTATAAGGAAATAATTTTTATCGCAATTCATCAAGTATTTTTTGTTTCAAAAACTTTATTATGAATGTTAAGAATTATTTCTGGCAAAATGTAATCTCTCTCTCTCTCTCTCTCTCTTGCTACTTTTCTTTGTTTGACATCTTCTCAAATTTTTAAAATGAGGAAGTGAAGATCACGTGTGGGAAAAATAAAAATTCCACAGCGATGGAAAAATATTCAATATCTAAAGCAAAAAAGCTGAAAAAATCACGAAAAACTAGTTAAGTTTTTTATAACTTTCGAACAAATAGGTTTTTCGAAAAAAAACTTTCATTAAAAATAATGTTCTAATAACAAAATTTTCTTTGAACACCAAATTTCAACTCTGTAGTTGCATTTTAGTGGATAGTAAATCAACCAATATGTTTTATTCCAAGTTTTTCAGTGAATAATTCTCAGGATGATCCGAATGAGGATGATCCGAAGACATTCCATCGTAATTTTGATCCTCTGCATAGGATATGACTCCCCTGATTTTGTAGCCCGACGACTGATACCACACACCCTCGGTACCTACGCAGGCTTATGTAACAATACATTTTAATTGCGCTAGTCAACTAAGAGTAACATGTAACTAAACAAATTAGTTAGACTAAATATATGATTTTTTGCAATAAGATAACAAGTTGAAGCGGAGCATAAAAAGAGAAAGCTTAAAGGTTTAAAAATAATAAAGTGAAAAATGAATTTTTTTGGACACAGTGTGTCGAAGAATAACTAAACCTAAGGACTAAAACTTTTACTCTTAATCATATCTTTCTTTCTCCGTTATCAGTGTTCATTTCAATTATCAAATCTAACATTTAATGTTAGTAATTCACGTTTTATAGTTTAATGGCTGTACAGAAAACTCAATAACATATAACTAAACGAAAACTTTCGAAGTATTTACATGAAGGCAAAAAACTGTCTGTAATATAAATTGTTGTTGCAACCTTTCAAAAAAGCTGCATAGATTTCTGCTGTCAGCTTAAAATGTTATCTTTACTAATTAAATCTTCAGCATTTCCAACGTTTAAGACATTAATCCTTTAAAATGAAAGAATATTGGTGTCAGCCGATCAAGCTTTTAAGCTAACGCGAATTAAAACTAGAGGCTCAGCTAAAGTTTTATTTCTTCTTATGAAATGAGATTTCATAAATTTTCTAATTTTTAAAGTTTTATCGGAGGATAATGCTACTAGTTTTTATAAAAATAGGACATTCTTGTCAGTGGAGAAATGTTTCTATAGAAATAAAGTATTTTTCTTACAATTATAATATATTTTAAATCTGTTTGAGATTGTTAAATTGCTAAGGATTTCAAGAAGTTACATATTCAATATAATTTTCGTATGTTTTTAGAAAAACAAACTGGTTCTTCCTTCAGTAAAAGTTTCACAAAAATTATAAGTAGTCATGAAAATGATTTATCCTCAGTTAAACTTAAAATTTATTTCCAGATGCTGTTGCATTACAGTTGCGATTGCGGAGATTTAAGAATTAAATAAGGAAGAGTCAAATATAATAACTTGTATTAAGAGAAAGCGAATTGTTAACTATTAAAATTATGACAGAACTATGGTAAGTAAGGTCAAAACNTTTTTTCTGTATTTAAATAATCTTAAATTTTGCTATTGCTATTTCCAAAAATAACTAACTACTGTAACAAGCTAGTTGAAATGTAAAGTTTTCATAAATTTTCAAAATAAAGTTTTCATGAGTTTTCATTAAGTGGCTTAATGAAAGGAATGATGTTGGTAATAATTATGAAAACAATAACAATAATGTTTATAATGATCTTATTTTTAATAATTGCAGATTTTCATGCATAATAGTAACCTGAACAAGTACAGTTTTAGTTATGATGCATATCCCGCTCTATTATTTGAAATTATAAACTATAATTATGGTATAACCTTCAACTGGGAAGAATTAATAACAATACTAAAATGCAGTTTTTTTTTAAAAATACATAATATTTTTTTTAAAAAATATATTATTTTTTTTAAAAAAAATAACTGTATTTTATGCTATTGACTAGTTTAACACTTTTAAAAATCCTCTAATATTTACAATTTTAACAATTTCTTATTATGCAATTGGAGATGGGACATTTTTGATTTTTGGGGATTAAATTTCGCACTCAAAATAAATTAGTTTTCAAAATAACATTCTGATTCAACTTCATAAAAAAAAATTTCGAATTCGAAAAGTTTATTTTTTAAATCTATTTTAAAGCACAATTCATATTGGAACTTAAGCAGCGAATTTTTTTCATGTTTTAATGATTTTCAAATATTAATAGTAGTACTTAAATAAACTTTCCATATTAATAACTTTCCATAAAATGAACTAACCATGAAATAAACTTTCCATATTAATTTTTTTTCAATTAAAAAGAACTTTCTTTGCTCCTCATTCACCAGCATGCTTATATTTAATATATAAGTTTTTATGACTTAAAATATTTTTAATTTAAACAAAAAAAATTTATATGTCTATATATAAATTTTTATTTTTTTTGAAATGTAATTAAATTTGCAGATTGTATAAAATTAAATATAAAGAGAGGTCTGATGAAAATTCTGGATATTCAACTCGTTTAAAAAAGAACGCAGTAATGTATGAATGTATAAAAATTGCTTAAAAATTTATCAAAACTTTAAAAAAAATTATATTTATAAAGAAGGTTACAGGGGAAAGAAACTTTATTGAACATAAATCCTTTATTTCTTATGGAAGAACGGGTGCAAAAGCACAAAAAGAAATAAAAGAAAGTAAGAAGAAAAGAAATGAAAGTTATAATATTCGTTTTTCTCTAACCACATTTTTAAAATTTTAATTTTATTTAAAACTTCAGTTGAGTTTCGTAAAGAAAATAATTTTTGAAAGAATAAATCTATTTGAATATAACTTCAATTATTTGAAATTTAAATAAAATAAATAAATATAATATTTGTCTTCCATAGATTTTAAAAAAAATGAAGGTCCTAATTAAAAGTTAATTAAAATTAATCTTAATGAAGGTTAATTAAAGTATTGGAAATTATGGAAAGAAAACATTTTTTAATATCTCTCTCACATAAGCGCAATTTTTTTTAAATGTATTTAAGGCTCAAGAGTATACGGTTATATAATGTTTATACATATTGAAAAAATATTAACTGATGAATTTGTAATTCGAAGAATTAAAATTAACTTAATAATTAATAAAAACTTAATAAGGGATTGATAAACATTATTATATTTTTTGCTAGAAATTTCTCGTGTGTGCATACTGATTGAAAATAAAAAGAGAATGTTTGTGTCAAAAATAATTCATTCTTTTTGACACATTCAATTTCTTTAAATTTATTATTTAAGTGAATTAAAGTTAACTAAGGTTTATAAAAACTTAATAAAGGATCAATAAATAACTCAGATATTTTTCCTATAATTAATGACTGTAGAACTTTTTGGAAATAGCAATCACTATTATTTTTTGTTAGAAATTTCTCTTGTGTGCATGCGAATTTTTTAAAAAAAGGAAATGTATGCGTCAAAAAATAAAAGGTGAAAGTTTTTTTAAAAATATTTTCTTTTCAATAAAATAAATAAAGCGTTTCATTTTTCAGTTAAAGTAACATTTGAATTCTTTTATCGAACTTAAATTTTTTTTTCCTGCGAAACACTTTGAAAAAAAATGTGTCTTTGTTAGACAGCAGCGTAGAATATTCACGAAAACATTCCTTGGAAAACTGACAAGCATGACAATTCTTTTACTTTGCTCATTGATACAAAAGTTCACCTTTTTTTTTAAGATAAGAATATATTTGTTAGGAATGTTTCTATGAGATTTAAAGATTTCGTTTTATTTTATCCAATGCTGAAGTAGACATCTTTCCATTGTTTTGAATTAAATATTATCATGCCAATAAAAGCATTATATACTACTTTTTTTAAAATTTCTTTAATAACAAAATTTAATTTTTGAATCATTCTTAACCGTTTCCCCTTTTAATTTTTTTTTTGAAGAAAACAATTTAACATATTTTTATTTTATCAAAAAATACAAGGAACTGAAACAAAACATAACACTAAAATTTTGAGTTAAAATTGCAATTTTTTATGTGCAAAAAAACCATTAATTTACCATGAGTATATCTAGGCAAATGAAAAGAGTTAAATATTAGTATTTATGATAGTTTTTAAACCAAGGGACAACACAAAGTGATACTTTCCAATTGCTGTTGAAGTGGTTCGTCATTTTTGTACAGTTTTTTCGATGTAAATTTAGCAACCATTGTATATACAATGGCACAAAACACGTGTGCAGTCCCACAATCCAGCAGCAAAACTCCCCGAATTTAACTCTGCCTGGTTATAAAATTGTAGCGTTTTTTTTTTCTGTATTTAAACAAGCGAAATAATTTTGTACTATAAAATTTAATCCTCTCGTCTCTTCTTTAATTAACTCGCTTTAGACTTGGAAAATAAGGCTAAATTTCAATGTATTTAAACAATCTCAATTGCAATAATAACTTTTATTAAATGAATGGATGAATGAATTTAGAGATTATGATACA